GAAAGAAAACTGTCAAACTATTATTTACTATTTTTTTTAGAAAGGGGGTTTCTCTTTGACACCCAGGCTGGAGTGCAGGGGCATGATCACTGCTCACTGCCACCTCCAACTTCTAGGCTTGAGGTATCCTCCTGCCATAGCCTCCCAAGTAGCTAGGGCTACAGATGTGCACCACTGCACCTGGCTAAGTTTAAAACTTTTTTTTTGGGCCAGGCGCGGTGGCTCACGCCTATAATCCCAGCACTTTGGGAGGCAGAGGCGGGCGGATCACGAGATCAAGAGACTGAGACCATCCTGGTCAACAAGGTGAAACCCCGTCTCTACTAAAAATACAAAAATTAGCTGGGCGTGGTGGTGCGCGCCTGTAGTCCCAGCTACTCGGGAGGCTGAGGCGGGAGAGTGGCTTGAACCCAGGAGATGGAGGTTGCGGTGAGCCGAGATCGGGCGGCCGTTGCACTCCAGTCTGGGTAATAACAGCGAAACTGCGTCTCAAAAAAAAATTTTTTTTTTTTAGATGGAGTCTTGCTCTGTCACCAGGCCGGAATCCGCCTTTTGGATTCAAGTGACTCTCCGGGCTCAGCCTCCCGAGTAGCTGGGACTACAGGCGCGCACCACCACGCCCAGCTAATTTTTGTATTTTTAGTAGAGACGGGGTTTCACCTTGTTGACCAGGATGGTCTCGGTCTCTTGACCTCGTGATCCACCCGCCTCTGCCTCCCAAAGTGCTGGGATTATAGGCGTGAGCCACCGTGCCTGGCCTTCTAAATTTTTTTGTAGAGAGGAGGTCCCACTATGTCGGTCTGGGCTCCAACTCCTGGGCTCACACGATCTTCCCACTAAGCCTCCCCAAGTGTGCGATTACAGGCATGAGCCACTGCACCCAGCCTCAAACTGTTACACAATGCTTTATCACTTAGAATTTCTAATTTGTTTTAAAAGAACTTTTAGACTTTAAACACATTCTTATTACTCTTGTGCATACAAGAAAAAATGTAAGCTATATTGGTTAAGGCATTTCTACTGTTTTTCCACTCAGTTGCTGATACTGCTGTTTTTCTGTATAATATTGTACCCTGTGTTGTTAAGGGTGTTGATGATGCAGCATTTTTCAATAGTGCTATTCTATTGTCTCTCGAAGAATTTCTTGCAAGCCTCTCCTACCCATTTGTAAGTTTGATGTTGGCACTTTCTTGCTTTATGTGTGATGGACAACCCATTTGCATGCATCTCAATATCAAAACATAATACAGCATCATCTGTTTGTGGGTATTTTCCTTTCTTGGGTCCCTTAAAATCTCACAAAATGTGGAATGTGTTCATTCCTCCAGTGAGGAACATTTGCTTCACTAAAAACAAATGCATATGCTCCACTACTCTGTTTCAGTCCTGTCTGCTTACATAATAACATTTTGGTTTAATGCCAAATCACAGTGTAATAGATTTGACGGCATTTTAAATGTCAATTAAATTCTACCCATGTGGGACTTACAATGTAGATGAATTATTTTTGCTATTTTAGAAGTGATGTGTTCCTAAAAATGTCGAATGATAAAGAGGTGTACGGTTGTGTTAAACTCATGTTAAATTGAAATGAGGACATAAACATGCCTCTGACTGTGGTCAGAGAAGGCCTCTCTGAGAAGATAGCATCTTGTCAGAGAAGACAGCTGTTTGGAGAGTTGGAAGAAAAGCATTCTAGGCTGAGAGAATAGCATGATTATAAAGGTCAGCATAGGCCGGGAGTGGTGGCTCAAGCTTGTAATCCCAGCACTTTGGGAGGCCGAAGTGGGTGGATCACAAGGTCAAGAGATCGAGACAATCCTGGTCAACATGGTGAAACCCCATCTCTACTAAAAATACAAAAAATTAGCTGGGCATGGTGGCGCGTGCCTGTAATCCCAGCTACTCAGGAGGCTGAGGCAGGAGAATTGCCTGAACCCAGGAAGCGGAGGTTGCAGTGAGCCGAGATCGCTCCATTGCACTCCAGCCTGGGTAACAAGAGCAAAAACTCCGTCTCAAAAAAAATAAAATAAAATAAAAAAATAAAGGTCAGCATACTTGGAATATATTCAGACAAGTTAGATGTAGCACTCAGACTAAGTGCTAGAGTGGTGCAAGGTGAGGTTGCATCTGGAGTAAGAGTGGTGCAAGGTGAGGTTTCGGTGAGGTTGCAGAGAGGCTGGGGTGAACTCTTGCAGGACTTTGTAGGCTCTGTAAAAGTGCAAGCGAACGTTGTCAACAGCAGGTCTTTGATATGATCCAATTTACATTTTAAGAGGATACTTTAACATCTAGTAAATGTACTATTGAATCAGTAAAGAATCAATTAAGTAAATTTTGATCAGATATTAAACTATTAGAAAATAATAAAAGCAGCTGGGCACAGTGGCACACACCTGTAATCCCAGCACTTTGGGAGGCCAAGGTGGGCAGATTACTTGAGGTCAGGAGTTCCAGACCAGCCTGATCAACAAAGTGAATCTCTGTCTCTACTGAAAATACAAAAATTAGCTGGGTGTGGTGGCACACACCTGTAATCCCAGCTACTTGGGAGGCTGAGGCACAAATTGCTTGAACCTGGGAGGCAGAGGTTACAGTGAACCAAAATTGCGACACTCCCCTCCAGCCTGGGCAACAGGGCAAGACTATGTTTCAAAAAAAAAAAAAAATGTTTCTTACAGAATGATGATGATGACTGACAATTTTTTTTTTTTTTTGGAGACGGAGTCTTGCTCTGTCACCAGGCTGGCGTGCAGTGGTGCCATCTCAGATCACTGCAACCTCTGCCTCCCGGGTTCAAGCAATTCTCCTGCCTCAGCCTCTCGAGTAGCTGGAACTACAGGTGTGTGCCACCATGCCTAGCTAATTTTTGAATGTTTTAGTAGAGTCGGGGTTTCACCATGTAGGTCAGGATGGTCTTGATCTTGTGATCTGCCCGCCACAGCCTCCTAAAGTGCTGGGATTACAGGTGTGAGCCACCATGCCCCGCCCGATGATTATTATTTTTGAGAAAGGTTCTCACTTTGTCATCCAGGCTGAGGTACAGTAGCATGAGCTCACCTCACCACAGCTTTGACCTGGGCTCAGGTGATCCTCCCACCTCAGCCTTCCAAGTGGCTGGGACTACAGGTGAACACCACCAAGCCCAGCTAATATTTTGGAGAGATAGGGTTTCACCATATTGCCTAGGCTGGTCTCAAACTCTTGGGCTCAAATGATCCTCCCACCTTTGCCTCCCAAAGTGCTGGGGTTACAGACATGAGCCACCGTGCCTGGCCTCTTACAGAATTATTAATAATTCCCCCAGAAATTGGACATAACCTTAAGGTCTAACAGTGTTTGCATTTGTTAGGTAAATTGTGATAAATCTGTAAGATGGAATATTGTTTAGCCTCTAACGTACGATTTGCAAAGAGCTTAATAAAGAGAAAAATCACGTTATGAAGCAGAATAAACAAAGGTATTCCAATTTTCTCAAATTGTTATATCTGGGTGTATGTGTACAGTAAATGGAATGGAAAAGCAAGAAGATAAATATGAACAGTAATTATCTGGCTGATGGTGCCACAAATAATTTTAAATTTTTCTTGCATTTTCTGTATTTTCTATACTTTTTTCAGTAAAAATGTATTGGTCAGAAAATGAATACTGGGAGAAAATGCTATAAATTATTTTATGTAGTATCTGGCAAATTTCTTCATAAGGTAATATGTATCAGAATTATTCTCAATCCTGGCTGCACTCTAGACTCACCTGGGGAGCTTTAAAAAAGCCTATTCCACTTGGCCCTCCCCCAGAAATTTAGTTACTTTAGGATGGCCCCTCCATCAATAATTTTAGCAGCCGTCAAAGTAAATCATTTTTTGTTTGAGATGGAATGTCACTCTGTCACCTAGGCTGGAGTGCAAGTGGCGTGACCTCCGCACACTGGAACCTCTGCCTCCCAGGTTCAAGCGATTCTCCTGCCTCAGCCATCTGAGTAGCTGAGATTACAGGCTCCCGCCACCATGGCCAGCTAATTTTTGTATTTCTGGTAGCGATGGGGTTTCACTATGTTGGCCAGCCTGGCTCAAAATTATTGAGCCTTTCCATAGTCCAGAAGACAAATTTTAGAAAGTGAGGAAGGGCTCGGTGCAGTGGCTCACGCCTGTAATCCCAACACTTTGGGAGGCCAAGATGGGCGGATCATCTGAAGTCAGCAGTTCAAGACCAGCCTGATATGGTGAAACCCTGTCTCTACTAAAAATACAAAAATTGGCCGGGCGTGGTGGCGAGCGCCTGTAGTCCCGGCTCCTCGGAAGGCTGAGACAGAATTGCTTGAACCCGGGAGGAGGAGGCTGCAGTGAGCTGAGATAGTGGGCGACAGAGCGAGACTCTGTCTCAATAATAAATAAATAAATAAACTGAGGAAGATCTCAACTGCAAAATGCAAATCATACTCACTTCCAAGCCATGTGTGGATTAAATGAGATAAGCCAACTAAAGCGATTACCCAGCTCAGTGCCTAGTATACAGTTAGCGCTCAACAAGTACTAGAGACCGCTTGGCAAAGCAAGGCAGATTGAAGTGTGGGTTCCACTTCTCATCATGTGATAAGCGATAATGCTTTTAATCAGGTCGGCTCACCTGGCCTCTCCATTCGGCCTAAATAACGTCTACTTACTTGCGTGAAGAAAGAGCCCTTGCTGCTGCGGGCTCAGAGCCCAGGTCAGCAAGTATTTGTCAGGCTAGAGCCTCCGGGTGGCGCCTCTCGCCGTCGGTAATCCGTTACCTCCAGAACCAGGGCGCCAGCTTCAGCCATCTGCATTGAAGCAGGAGCTCCCATTGGCTAATCGGACTCTGAAACGCACGCCTATTCCCGCCCCTGACGCTGCCGTCCAATGCGAGCCTCTCAACTCTGCTCCGCCCCGCCCCCGTCTCCCTGTCCCTGGCGTATTTGCGCCGTTGGTCGATCTTTCGGGTCGTGATGGCGGCGCTGCGCGTGCGCACTCGCTCCGAGCCCGCCTCCGGGGAGGAGGAGCTCGCGGGCCGGGGCCAGGGAAGGCAGACCCTGCTCCGCCCGGGTGAAAGGGCCGTGACGGCGCTGGGCGGGGCCGAGCTCCAGGGCTGGCTGCTGGGCTGCTAAGGGAACTGTGAGCTGTTCGGAGCCGCGCGACTCCCGGGCGGGGCGGGGCCGGCCGAGGGAGTCCGCGCGTGCCCGCGCTGAGCTGCCTTTCCTGGCTGCTGCGCTGCTCGCCCGCGGCGACGTCGGGCAGGTTTTTCCAGGATGACCGAGCTGAGGCAGAGGGTGGCCCACGAGCCGGATGCGCCACCCGAGGACAAGGTAGCGGCAGCCTCGGGGTGGGCGCGGCCGGGACAGCGGCGCATCCAGGAGGCCCGGTGGGGACGCGCGCAGGGGGGTCCTCTAGTCCTCTGATCCCTTGTCGTGGCGGACGGCGGCCCCGGGCAGCGCGATGGGTCCTCGGGTGCCTAGCCTTTGCTGCGCGCATGTCAAGGGTTGGCGGGTCGGAGTCCCGGCTCAGGGTCTGGCTGGAGTGGCTCCCCTGGGGCGCAGGAAGGAGCTCGCCTGGAGTGGCGCACGGCCTCCTGCCTCGCTGGGCTGACTGCGGGACCCCCCTCTCCCCCTACCTCCCTGAGGCCTTCCTGGAGGTGAAGATGTGCAGAGCTTTCTCAGATAGGCGGCTCCTCTGACCGCGACTTAGGCTCTCCGTTCCCTTTTGCAATGTTATTATTTTGGGGGGTGTCGGAATCGGGACAAGGCCATAGCATTTGCCTCCTGGCATATGTAAATCCCTTCTTGGACAGGAAATCATCGGCTTTGAGCAGAGAGGTGTGTTACGCAGTGAGCCACCCCGTCATCAGCAGGTGTTGGAGGGAGTCCTCCCAGTTGATGGGTTGTTTCCTGTGCCGTATGGGTTCTGGTGAGTAGGGGAGGAGAGTAGGAAGGAGGCCATCTTGGCGGGGACAGCGGCTGGGGGGTGACGGGTGTGGGAGTAGATTCCTTTGGGTGAAGTGAAAGGTCTGTGTAGGGGAGTTGAGGAAGGTAGGGAGTAGTTGTATTACTGTGGACATTGAATGGCAGCATAGGACTTTGTAGTTGTAGTTGTGCTTTCCGAGATAGCAGTGGTCAGGAGTCCTGTATTTGGAAAACTGATCTGGCAGTGATGTGTAGAATGGATTGAGGGAGCTTGGACTAGAATGAGGGAGACTGGTTCACTTGGGGATTGCCCATGGGTGACCTGTAGATGTTTTCTTTGGCCCACATGTTGCCTTAAAAATCAGAAAATTTCTCCTAACAATCTAAGTTTCTTGCCTTAGATAATTGGAGGGTCCACCATCATTTTCTCACCTGATTAATGATTGGCTGGAGCTGAGGATCATCTGTTCCCACCAATTCCTGTTGCCTTACACCCAGGCTCATGGCTTCTTCTAATGCAGCCTGTAACTTTTTGATAACTGGAAGAAAGGGACATTAGGGAGACACCAAGAAGGAAGAAAGCACAAGATCTGGTGACAGGATGTCAACAGATCAATTACACTAGGAGGAATGTTTTGGGTGAAAGATAATGGTTGTTTTTTTTAAAATCAACTTTTGTGTTATTGCAATTGACAGTGGACCATCCAAAGAAAACTGTTCATACTGAATTTTAGAAAATGTATTTTGGCCAGGCACAGTGCTGAACAACTGTAATCCTAGCTACTAGGGAGGCTGAGGCAGGAGGATCGCTTGAGCCCAGGAGTTTGAGATCCTGTCTCAAAAAACAAAAACAAAAAAAACATATTTTGGAGACAATTTAGGGCTAGGGCTAAGGATTTAGCAGTTGCTTGCAGAGACAAGAGACTTTGAAGTCTCTAATTTTTCAGTGGGCTCTTCTGGTTCAGCCTGAAAGAATTGTGACTTACCTTGTTACTGCTAGTTGGTGAGTATGCAGATGTTTGGAGGCTCTGTTTAAGGTGAGATCATACTTGATGTCACTGGGACATTGTGGACCTAGAAGGTATGAGAAGAGGGAGAAGAAAGAAGGCATGAAAGCTGGTAGGCCATGTTTTTGAAAAGCTGACTATGTACAATAGTTAGAATGTCAAAAAAAACAACGATGGGGTTGTGAGATGGAACATAAAGATTCTGCCCTTTCTGGACTCCTTGGATCCATCCCCAGAGATAAAGTGCCTGTTGGTCTTACTTTCACATCCCCTACTTTCAGTAGGGAGGACATGAGGAGCTGTCCAGCTGAAGGTGCACTTACATCACTTATGCAGTGACATAATGCCTGGGGTCATGAGGTCCCTAAAAGACAGCTGCTATGCACACTGATACTCATTACCCAGAACAAGGCAATCAGTCCCTCACCACATCCTCCAGAACTTCTGAATTGTCATGCATGGGATTTTTAATAAGGGCACGTTTTAAAAGGTGTGAAATCTATTACTTGTCTTTGAATGTATATAGTAAACTTTTTTCTTTTCTTTTCTGTTTTTTGAGGCAGAGTTTTGCTCTTGTGGCCCAGACTGGAGCACAATGGTGCAATCTCAGCTTACTACAACCTCCGCCTCAGCCTCCTCAGTACCTGGGATTACAGCACCTGCCACCACGCCCGGCTAATTTTTTTTTATTTATAGTAGAGATGGTGTTTCACCATGTTGTACAGGTTGATCTTGAACTCCTGACCTCAGGTAATCTACCCACCTTGGCTCCCAAAGTGCTGAGATTACAGGTGTGAGCCACTGCAGCTGGCCCATAGTAAACTGTTTTTTTTTTTGAGACAGAGTTTCGCTCTTGTTACCCAGGCTAGAGTGCAATGGTGCTATCTCGGCTCACTGCAACCTCTGCCTCCTGGGTTCAGGCAATTCTCCTGCCTCAGCCTCCTGAGTAGCTGGGATTACAGGCACACACCACCATGCCCAGCTAATTTTTTGTATTTTTAGTAGAGATGGGGTTTCACAATGTTGACCAAGATGGTCTTGATCTCTTGACCTCGTGATCCACCTGCCTCGGCCTCCCAAAGTGCTGGGATTATAGGTGTGAGCCACCGCGCCAGGCCCATAGTAAACTTTTTCAAAAATCCTGATTTATTCTGTTTCATAGTTTGGGAAAAGCCTACTTCCATGACTTTGGCTTTGCCAATATTCTTGTGTTAGAACCCAGGGAAATTAGAAATAATAAAACAGGTTGTCTTTTTAAGGAAATGAGAACTTTTTTTATTTCATAGTAGAAGAATCCAGTAAACAATTTTCAAGTCAGTGCTTTAAAAGCTCTGGAATAAATTTGAAAGATTCTTCAAAATGTTACAGTTGCTTAACTGCCAGTGGCAAAACTTTCTTGTAAATAGATAATCATTAGTATCAAAATAATCTGGAGAATGTTTATTTATAAAAGTCATAGGCTGGGTGTGGTGGTTCACACCTGTAATCCCAGCATTTTGAGAGGCCAAGGTGGGTGGTTCACAAGGTCAGTAGATGGAGACCATCCTAGCTAACACAGAGAAACCCCGTCTCTACTAAAAATACAAAAAATTAGCCAGGCATGGAGGCGCATGCCTGTAGTCCCAGCTACTTGGGAGGCTGAGGCAGGAGAATTGCTTGAACCCGGGAGACGGAGGTTGTACTGAGCCAGGATCACGCCACTGCACTCTAGTCTGGGCAACAGAGTGAGACTTCATCTCAAAAAAAAAAAAAAAAAAAAAAAATCAGAAGGTATTTTGTTATATTTAGCATCTGAGAATGGAATTTTCAAAGCCAATTGCTAATAAAGGAAATGTTCTCCTCTGGGAACTCTGCTTATAATTTTAAAGTCCCAAGGCACAGTATAGTTGCCAATCTAAGAAAGTTGGAGTTTAGGCTTTGGGAATGATCCTTGTCCTGCCCAAATGTATTTTTACGATGGAGCTTAGGAAAGGGAAGGATGAGATGTGGCTGAAAGATTGGCATCTTAAAATTTATAACTGAGTTATCATTTCAGGAGATTTTGTTTTGTAAGTTAGAGTAAAGGTTCTGGGGTTTTCTGCTTCACTTATTTCCCGAGGTGCTATTTTTTTATTTTTATATCTATTTTTATTTTAAAAAAAAAAGAATCCATCTCCCTACTCCAAAAATCCATTAACATATTGTCCTGCTTATCAGTTTAATATCTGATACGTCCTCTATCCGAGGACAATATTTTGTTTTCCCACAGCCTTCTTCTTTAAAAAGAAAGAACATTTTGGCTCAGAGCGCGTGTAGTATCTGATCTTAGCCAAAAGGCTGAGAAGCGATCCGAGGTGCTTTTTAAATTAGAGCTTTACTTATTTCAAGGCTTCCTTTCTAGATAGGTGAAACCCATATAGAGAGGAAAGAGTGACGTCATTTAGAAAGGGGAGTTTAAATTTTAACTGAAGATAGTGTTTAAAAGCAGGGGCTTGAGTCAGTTACATCTGCCTTGAGCCTGGGCTCTGCCACATAGAGGCTGTGTGACTTTGAGCAGATCACCGAAGCTGTGGCAGCCTCAGTTTGTCCATCATTAATATGGGGGTGATAAAATTGTGTGTGCTTCACAGGCTATTCATGTGAATTAAATGTATGTATGGGCAGCAGAGCTTGTCACATTGTAATGTTAGCTATTGTTGCTACTGGTTAAAATAGATTTTTATAGGAAAAAACTTTAATATTCATCTTACACTCTTAGAAGGTGATTAAATCTTCAAGTTATATGTATTTGTAGAGTCTATTCATATTAATTATCTTCTAAGGAAAGTTTTATAAAAAGGACTTAGCCTTCTATGACCTATCTTTTCAGTTTATTTTCTTGCTGAATTTTTCAGTACTCCAAATCACAATCAAACTTTAGCTGTAGGACCACTGAACATTGCTGTATGTAATTGTCTTCTTTTATAACTAAAAATGGTTTTCAATAGACTTTGAGATTGAACTACTGAAATAAAATATTAAAGAACTATAACTACTTCAGGTGTAGGAGAAATGCTTAATTTTTTTCAAGAGAATGTTTTTATTTTGAGAAATAATTTGGGAGTTGAAATATCAGTAAACCTTAACTATGATTCCCAGGCTTAACAGGGAGAGGAGGTGAAAGATTATTTTGTCATATAACTCAGTATCTTATATGTCTTATATTTTTGTTGTTCAGTGTGATTTTATTTTAAAAACTCAATTACTTCATGGTTTTTGACTATTTCAAGTTAGTTTTTCTAAAATCTATTTTTAAAAAACGTTTTGTGTTTGCACAAATTAATATGGTATTTCATTAGAAGAATTTTTATCATCTTTTCAAGGTGTTAAATTGCTCTCCTTGGTTGTTAGGACTAGAAGGGCCTTTAGGGGTGTTTTTTA